GAATTACGTCCGATATGGGATGAATTATGTGCACGTGTCCATTGCAAAAGTACACGTCGCCATTTTAAAACCCCGTTCAATTTCGGCCAAATTTGACAATTGCTCAATGTACTCGTTTTACTAGTGATTTTTTTAATTACCAAAAAAAAAAAACCAAATTCTATATAAATATAAAAAGAAATGTTATTTTATTGCTATACTATTAAGTATTATTATTTTGTGCATAAAATATAACTATAAAACTTTCTAACAGAAGAAGTAAGAAAAACCTTGACAGTGATTTTAGTACAGAATCACTGTTACTAAGCACTTGAAACTTGTGGTTGCTATGCTAAAAGCATAATTATGCTACCTGCTTGCCACAGTTAACAGCGCTGCTAAATGGCAATAACATTTGTACATTTCCATACATTTGATATAAAAGTTTTTAACAAAATTTTATGTCAGTTAGTTATTTCATTTATATTTTTTAACGAAGCTTATGTAGAAAATATAAATAAATATTTTCCAACAGTTTTTTTTAACATATGAGGAGGAAACCCTTAAATAATTTTAATTTAAATATATATTAAATTTAAATTTAGCTATTTATTTGTTCTCATACCCCCTTTTTTTCATTGTTTTGAAATCAGTTTTCACAAATTTTTAATATCAAAATTATAAAAAATTTTGTGGAAACTGAGAAAATATGTAATTAAAAATTTGTAAATTAAATACTGTTTCATATATACAATAATCTTGTGATTTTGTAAAAATATATAACTAAAAATTTATTCATTAAATTTTGCTTTGCAATATTTTACTTTTTTCAAAAAATTCCTTTTACTTGAAGCCTTTTCTAATATTTATTTAGTTCCTATTGGTCTTTGTTTTACAGAAAAAAAACTTTAGTAAAAACATTATAATAGCATAATAATACTTATTAAAATAATTAGGTCAGACATTGAAAATAACTTCAAATTAAAATAAATTGTTAATTTCATAAAAATTAGACAGAATTCATTAATGATTTCTTAATTATTAATAGTGTTCTTATTTGCTTGAGAAAACGCAAGTTAGTGTCTGAAACGCCTTTATTCAATAGTGTCAGCAACCACTTGGGTTATCCATTGTAACAAAAGCTCCTTTGAATGCCGATAAAAACTGTTTCAGGTACATTTAAAGAAGCATAGTTTGAAACCCAGTATATCTTAATAACGATGCGTTTGATTTAAGAGAGTGTAATTGTGAATTATTGTGAGCATCCAAAGCATGAAACACGATAGTCAAATTTAAAATAATAATAATCTTATTTCTTTGTAAATTTAACATTTACTTATATTCATTATATTCATTTATATATATTAAAACAAAAACAGCAACAAAATATGATAATAGTAACAGTAACAGTAGTTAAATAGCAAAAGTAAATTATAACAAATACCCACTTTAATAGAAAGAAATATAGAAGTGAAAAACTATCATTATAAAAAAACGAAATAACAAAAATTAGTTGCTCTTTTCATTTCAGTGACTTAATAAAACAAACAAAAACATCTTATATACATATATAAATAAACATTTAAATACAACGAACTTTGGTATCCACCAGTCTGAACTCAGAAACACTGAAAAAAGAGAAAAAAATTTTCTCTTCTTGAAACATTAGGTTTTACTATAAACAATTAATTTTGTTGTGCAAAATTTATTTTCACCACCGATAAATGTCACATCTAATACAACCCCTAAATATCACAACACCACGTATTTCATGTTGAACGGTTGTCGCCAAATTTCCTAGTGGGTCTACCATAAATGTACAATGTAAACATATATTCTTGCTCCCACTTGTTTGCAACCACAATAGATAAGAGAAAATAATATTACTTTACCAAACGCAAAAAAAGGTGCACAATATTGTACATTGAAAAAAAAAAGATACAATTTATTAATTGAAATAAATGTAAATTGAAATTTATCTATACAATTACGCCACTATCCGTTGAAAAGCTACCCACAAGTAGTATCAAATGCACACAACTTTCACGTGATTGTTGTTTGTGTTTTCCTGGTGGTTTGTTCAACGATTCTTATTAGAATTTTTTTAGTATATTACATTCTGAACTAACACAATAAACGACATTGTTTTGATTCTCGGAATACAAACTTGAAAGAAAAAAAAACGTAAAAATTTGATAACAAATGCCATAAATTAGTTTAGCACGTTTAGTAATATTTCCACTACTTACACGCATTTTAATAAATAATATTTAATATTTTAGCTTAATCATGCCGCCAAGAGATGTTGCTTTGCTTAACAACAATGATTCGCTGTTGTCAAGCGCCGAATTAAGTAAATCTGCGGGCTCCAAGCAAACCGGTGTCTTGTTCGAGTGCGATGCTGATACGACCGATGGAGCCCTTGCGACCGATATACGCCAATACAAGAAAGCAGAGAAGCGTAAGCTGAAGTTGGTGTGGCGGAATATCATTTTGTTTGGATATTTGCATGTAGCTGCGCTGTACGGTGGCTGGCTCTTCTTCACCTCAGCTAAATGGGCTACAGTATTTTTCTGTAAGTAAATAAATTAAATAACTGTTATTGAATACGTTTAAGTACTAAAGTAAATATAAGTGATTATTGTGAGAGTGAAAATAGTGGATTTAGAAAAAGAGTACCATGAACAATGAAAAAGTATGAAAGAATTGAATAATATAATAATAGAAGTTGGCTTTAAGAATGATATTTGAAACACATAGAAAACATAAAGATTAGAAGTACCATTAACGTCAAAAGAAATGAAGAGGACTAATGGAGAGTAATGGATTCGTGGACTATTTGTTTTAAACTCAAAAAATCAACGGACAATTACTTGAGTTTAAAATAGTTAGTCCACATTCAACGGAAAGAATTATATATCGAATAAAATTAAGAACTAATTTTTAATTATTAAACACAATCTTCCTTTGTAGCTACAATAATGTATTCATCTTAATAGAAATACTTTTCTCTTCAAAATACAAACCAATCAATATATGTATAAAACTAATAAATAAATAATATTAAAATAAATAACTAATGAACTGACCTCATTTACTACTTGCAGCTATATTTTTATATTCCATTGGAGTGTTGGGCATAACTGCCGGCGCTCATCGCTTATGGGCACATCGTTCTTACAAAGCTAAATGGCCACTACGTGTTATTTTGATCATTTTCAACACAGTTGCTTTCCAAGATGCAGCTTATCATTGGGCACGTGATCATCGTGTACATCATAAATTCTCTGAAACTGATGCTGACCCACATAATGCTACTCGTGGTCTTTTCTTCTCACACGTTGGCTGGTTGCTCTGCAAAAAACATCCTGACGTTAAGGCTAAAGGCAGAGGTCTTGACTTAACCGATTTACGTGCTGATCCAATTTTGATGTTCCAAAAGAAGTACGTACAAACTTCCCATAAATCCCATAAAAAAATCTAATCAATTACATTAAATATTTTTAGATACTATCTAACTCTTATGCCTTTGGCATGCTTCATTTTACCAACAATCATACCCATGGTATGCTGGAATGAATCTTTCATCAATTCTTGGTTTGTTGCAACCATGTTCCGTTGGTGCTTCTTGTTGAACGTTACTTGGTGTGTAAACAGCGTAGCACATAAATTCGGTGGACGTCCATATGATAAGTAAGCAAAATTTTCTATTTGTTTTCTTATGTAGCATATATTTATTTGCCTATGTATAATTTATTAGAACCATCAATGCATCTGAAAATCCAGGTGTTGCTGCTTTTGCATTTGGCGAAGGTTGGCATAATTATCATCATGTGTTCCCTTGGGATTACAAAACAGCTGAATGGGGTAACTACACCATGAATCTAACAACAGCTTTCATTGATTTCTTTGCCAAGATTGGTTGGGCTTATGATCTAAAGTCGGTTGCACCAGAAACAATTGAGAAACGTGTTAAACGTACCGGTGATGGTTCACATGAATTGTGGGGTTGGGGCGATAAAGATTTAAGCCCTGAAGATGAGAAAGATGTATTGATCATCAATAAGAAAACTGAGTAAATGCTATGATACGTAGCTGCTGTGCACTTATATTTTATAGAATTCATTTGCATGCAAACATTTAAAGCAATTAATTCTACTTTTATAAAAAGTAAATTGTTAATCTGTTATTGGCACTACATTATCAAATGTAATTGTATTTAATCCGATTAAAATATTATCGAAAGTAGAAGAAATTGAACTCATGTCATTTTTATTATTACGTTAAATTATACTATATATTTATTATACTTTAAAAGAAAAGGTGTAGACTTAAAGACTTAACAATTAAAAAATGTGATTTAAATATAAATTTCAGAATTTTATTTTTACAAAAATTTAATATTTACCAAGTAAATTATGAACTTTGACACCACATAAGATTAGCTGAATTGAGAAGTATTAGTTATTGGTGTAAACTAAGTGTAACATATGGTGGAACACCCGTCATGAAAGTGGCTCTCACAATCCTCCACGACAACAAAGCGGTCATTAATGTTGTCAAGTGCCTTGAGCAACAATAGAATTTTTTATTTTCTAAAATTACTTACTTTTTGGATTAAACTTGGTGAAACTGTTTTTAAAAATCTATTATTAATGAAAGAAATTTATTTTTATGCTGTACTGTTGCACAATGTTGCTCTATGTTTTATATCGTATGCCAAGCCAAATTCACTTTATTTTTATTTACAATAAAAATTCAGTTAATCGGCAAATATAAATATTTTAGATTGGCTGGCGCCAAAACACAAAACTGATCGAGTAAACAACACAAATATTTGACATTTGAGCAACAAATAAACAAACAGAACAGTGTTGCAAAGTCACGAAACAAAATAAGATCAAATTGTGGACGAGAACTCAATGAGATGAAAATTTGGAAAAAAGTACATATTGGACAATATTGGACAAGTTAAACGCATTTAACAATTTCAAAACTTTATTAGTATAAAAAGCATAGAATGAAAATAACAATTAATTCACAAAACTGTGTGCTTATATATTATTCTGCACACTAACATAAAATATAGCTTACAAAGCACTAAATTTATAAGTTCCATTCTCTTAAAATGTGTCATTAGCACTTTCGTATTCCAATAATTTTTGTTTAATCTGGCTTCCAAAACGGTACTTGAATTTGCTGCCACTTTTAGATATTACCCTATGGCATGGTATCACAACTGCAATATCATTTTTTCCCACAGCATTTGCCACAGGTCGCACAGCACTTGGCTTACCCAAAAGTTCAGCAACATCTGAGTATGTAAATTGCTCGCCAAATGGTATTTTGAGTAATGCTTTGTAAACGCTTTGTTGAAACTCTGATCCAGTCAAGCATAGCGTCATCGTTCCTCCATCATCTTTACCAAATATAGCGTTAACCGTTTTAGTTGCCAAAACAGAATCCTCAGTGTACACAGCCTTTGGCCAGCACTGTTTTAAGTTGTTGAGACCAGCGGCCTTATTTTGTATAAAATGTAGAAAACAAATTTTGTTTGGCTCAAGTAATCCAATTAAAACTTCACCAAATTTTGTATCTGCATATCCGTAACTTATTTCGAATTCTTCATTACTTTCATATGGAAAACTTATACAATTAATTTGTTCAGTTTTTAACATGTTTGTGTTAATTTCGCAAATGCTCTTAAGTTGAAGCGCCAATTTTTGTAAAACCAAATGAAATTTATAATCGTGGGAAACTGCAAAAACCGCTGAAGACTTGGCAGATGTTTGATAGAAGAGCCGCTGTAAAAATTTTATATTCCTGACATATTACAGTGTTGGCAAACGAAAAGTTTTTAAAAATTTTAATATATATAACATAAAGAAATTAAATTTAATAAATGCGTGGTATACGTATTTATTTGTTCGAATGATTTATATAAGTGGGTGCCAAATCATTAAACTGACAAAGTCAAAGTCACGAACTAAAGGGAACAGAAATGTTGATAGAACCTCTATACAATATTTTAACACAGTTAATTTGGAAATAAAAAAATGTACAATTTGCATTAGTCAAAGATATAGCTATTTACTCATTTAAAACTTTATTCGTATTCATAATATCCGGTAAAACTAACATAATATTCACAAAAATATATGCTTACACATTATCTGTACAGTAGATTAATACTCGGCTTGTACAATGTTAAATTTTTATGCTATGTACAGTTAAAAACTACTTAAATATTAGCACTTTCATATTCCAATAATTGCTTTTTAATATGACTTCCAAAGCCGTACTTAAATTTGTTCCCACTTTTAGAAATTACCCTGTGGCATGGTATTATTATTGCAATATCATTCTTAGCTACAGCATTTGCCACAGGTCGCACAGCTCTTGGCTTGCCCAATAGTGTAGCAACTTCAGAATATGTTATTTGTGCCCCAAACGGTATTTTAAGCAATGTTTTGTAAACGCTTTGTTGAAACTCTGTTCCAGTTAGACATAACGTCATCGTTCGTTTCTCACCTTTACCAAATATAGTTTCAGTTGTCTTGACTGCCAAATTATAATCCTCGAAATACTTAGCATTTGGCCAACAGTTTTTTAAATTACTGAGAGCAACGTCTTTATTTTGTGCAAAATGTAAAAAACATATTTTATTAGGCGCAAGTAGACCGATCAAAATGTCACCAAATTCTGTATCTGCATATCCATAGCTAATTTTAAATTCTTCAGTAGTTTTGAACGGAAAGCTTACACACTTAATCTGCCCAGATTTCAACATATTATTATTAATTGCAATTTGCTCTAAACGGAAGCGCCAACTTTCGCACAAAAATAAATCTATTGCTGTCGAGAATAGCAAAAACCGCTGGAGACAGTCATATGTTTATACATAAGCCGCTGTGGAACTTTTGTATAAGTTTCAAATTAGTGTTAATAAGTACGAGAATTTTTTTAAAATTATAACAGTTTGACAACAACAAACTTCTTTAAACCATTATGAACTTTAAAAGTAATAGTATGTCACCATTGACTTCGTTAAATCAGTTTATTTGATTTAGGTTTCGTGCTTTTTAATTTAATTAAGAATAAATCAGAGGAAATTATACGAAAAATGTCAAATGCAGTAATGCGAAATATATTTCCCAAAAAGAAAATAGTCGACATTTGTAACATGAAAAAAGAAATTAAAAAAAAAACATACTATTCAAACGAAAAAGAATAAATATTTTCTAAAGCATATCTTTCTTTTCTAATTAAATATATTCACATATCATATATCAAATATATATTTGTTACCATTATTAAATAAATTTCTTACACAATTTTGTTGCGAAAAGTTTTTCTATTTTTACAGTACTGATTTATAAAATGTCCCAATTCCGGAACTTATTTATAAGAACAAAAGATCAATGGAATAATGCAAAGAATTACTTAACTTAAAAATATTAATTGTTTTAAACATATTTAAAATTTTCAATCAATTATCAATCACGACTACTGTTGGCGGCAAAAATATTGTCTGTAGTATGGCATACAGTACTTAAAGCAGTTGAGGTATATGCAGGAGTACACACACTAATGAGGTACGGTAATATAGAGTATAACGATTAAAAATTTAATTATTCTTATCCCAGTGGATACGATTGATAGCTCATTAAAAGGCAGCCAGAAAATGAAAAAATAAAAATAAATCGTTATGCAAATGGTAGTTTTTTGTTTATATTTCAATTCCAAGACAAAAAAGTTCAGAGGAGTTGTGAACTCGACAAAAATAAATTGTAAGAAAAACCAGAGAAAACAGCTTATAGTGATATACCGTATTGCATATTACTGCGTAGTTTTGCGTCAATCGATGTTGTGCTATATACATACCTTTTTCATTAAAAAAGAAAACATTTAATGATTAATTATTGATTACTTTAAAACAATATATATTATATAAATATTTATATTTTAATAAAATTTATTGCAATGCGTAACTTGAACAAAAAAAATTCTTCCAGTTGTTTAAAAGTTTTTAAAATCTAATTACAGAAAAAATTTTGTTATTGTCTCATATAGTAAATGAAAACATTTCTTATAATAAATTTAAAACTATATATAACTAGTTATTATATTAAATATATATAAGTTTTGTGTGTTGTTGTAGATATGAATTAGTGCTATTGCGCACTTTTACTCTAATCCCTGCCCCACACTGCCCCACTAGATCAGCATATCTTCCTGTGCGTCTTGAGGTGGACTTATTAAGGTTTGTTAGGGCGGGGTTGGGCAAGGTTTTGTTAAACTGATTTGTTTCTTTAAGGACTTGACATATAACAATATGTTATTGTGATTAAAGTCCACTTGATTTCTTATATGATATGTCAAAAGAGGTTAAATAATTAGTTAGTAAATCTACCTATTCTAGAAAAAATTCTGTCGCTAATAAACTATAAAACATGTTTATACATTAAGACTTGTTTTGTAGAAAATCAAGTCATTATCTTTTCGGAAACATTTCGTTATCACAAACTCATCTATATTTGCAATGCACCGATTTTTTCTTGGTTCCTAACTGGCTCCCAGTTGTTGACACTTCTGTTATATTATGTTCATAAATTAATATAATTCCTTATTGGATCTCTCAGATCCGATTTCAGAGTTTACATCAATTTCAGCATTATTTTTAATTTTTTAATTTCAATCACAGACTTAAGTCACAATTGTGAAATTGCCTCTCAATGTTTTTATATATTGTCTTTAAATCACAAAAATTAAAAATTTATTTATTTCAAAAGTTCAAGCTTCAGATATATTTTTAATTAAAATAAGGTTTTAAATTACCTAATTCTGTATTGAATGACGTCTGCTTCAAATTTTTTGTTGAACTTTTTGGGGGAAATTAATTTTAAAAGCTGAGAAGCTTCTGTCAAATAATGTAAATCATTTATACTATTTCTTTTTTGTTTTTATTAAAACTGTTTATAGATGTATGTATATATGTGTTTATGTAATAAGCTCATTGACTTTTGTTCATAACAAATAGAAAATAAATTTATAAAAACTAAATCACCGGCTATTGACGCTATGCAAAAAGTTTTCGTTTAGTATTAAAGTTTCAAAATTATACTCTTTACTCTCTGACACACAAAACATTAACTTGAACTTGACATTAAAGACAAAGTACGCAACATAAATTATTTTAAATCAATTTTAATGGGAATTATATGTATTATAAATATTTTCATATGTATAAAAATTGGCAATATGTGTGTTTTCAATAAAACGCTAGACAGTTCTTCATACCAAACACGTTTCTGAAATGTTTTGATTGTCAAGGAAAAAACTATTTAAAAAAAATCAATAAAATCGATTTGCATCCATAATCAAATAAAACTTGCAAACTTGTACTTTATTGTTAGTATGACTATGACTATTATAAACCACAAACCGCAAAATTATGCAAATATATATTATGACTTGACAAATGTGTATTAAGTTGAATAATTCCATGACAGCACGTCACGGAACATAATATTGTGAATACTTTTCTAGTTGACAGTTCAGTCCTTGCCTATGATTTGTTCTCTTCTTGCTATCCTTTCAACTTGTGTGCTTCATGAGGAAAGGAGAGCTTAAAAATATAAATAATTTCAGTGCAGTGGTGATTAGTAAAATTATTATTATAACACAAAAAACTATATTAAAAACAAATTAGGAATTATTTAAACACATAGTAGACCGCCACAAATTTGAAATTTTAATATAAGCAAGACTTCACGTTTTTCCAATAACTTTTGTCAAAGAAGTAAGTAAACAAATAAAAATTAGTATAGTTTGTTGATAAAACTTACTAAAACCTGAGAGCCAAGCAAAGATTATTTAAAAACAATAATATTTGTTTTATTTTCTGTTTAAAAGTGACATAACAAATGTATTCTTTGTGCATAAATAAATATTAAAAAAAATCTTAAACTTGCTTGTAATAGGCGTTTTATTCTAGTAATTAACATAACTTAAACAATTCAAATAATTTCAATTTCAATATCAATACAGTATCAGCAATCAAATGCATTGTTCAAGTTGAATTGACAGACAAAAAACTATAAATCAAGTGCTCGCATCGCATATCAATTTCATTTAAGTTCAACAAATTTTTATTCTAACACATTTTGCGCAATAAGCACAAAAATGCTTGCCATTCGTAAAGGTCTTGAACATCTGTTTTTGGTGCTCATAATTGTGTTTATGTCAAAATAAATTATTTAACTACCGATTTTGCCTTAACTGTTTACACTTGAAAAAATGTTCAAAGAGTTTTGTTGAAGAAAATTTATAGATGCTAAGTGTGTAATAATCGCAAGACTGATTAAGCGAATGGTGAAATAGCGAAAAGCTTTTAGGGCCGTATGCGAGTTCGAGTAAATTGACGGTAAATTGAGGGAAATAGTAAATTATGTCGGTGTGGCAACGAACGTTGGTATTACCAAAATTTTGAGTAGGGTAAAAATTAGATAAAATTTAAATCAATTAAGTCTTATCATTGTGAAAATTTTATAAGATGTTTAATAAATAAATAAATAAATTTGAAAACTTTGAAAATTAATAAATATTTACATAAGTGTAGTGGAAAAGTCCATAATTTACTCGGACTCGCGTACCTCCTAGATTTAAGAAAGACGTTCACGCCTCCGTTTGTTAATTCAAAATAATTAAATTTGTTATTTCGTGAAAATTCTTATATTTTTCTAAGAACTACATCACATAGACATAATGGAAAATTAGTCCAAATATTTTTTTTTTTTAATTATTTTAAGTGCCTCAATAAGATTTAATAATTTTCTAATCCATTATTTGAATAATTCTGATGTTATGAACAAAGTATACTTCATTGACAAAAACGAGTAGCTCTAACAAATGCACACGAACGCTATGGAACCTCAATGTGATCAGTGTTACTTTAAGAAAAATATCAGCTTTTAACTATGAAACTGTCTTAATTAACTTAAAGCTAAACTTAATGTACAATGACCCAAGTATATTTAGTGTATTTAGTGTTATGGTTTTTTATAATTTAAAAGACACCAATATATAGCAATGACGAAAAAGAAATTTGACTTTATTTTGATTTTACAAATAATTTGAATTTCATTAAATTACCTTATAATTCACACACGCATATTATTGATTAGGTAACAATATTGTATTACTTAAGAACATACCTCAGCACGTCATTGGGAGTAAGTAATTATATTGATTATTTCTTCACTATTCGGTATCGAAGAACTACAATGAGTACTCAATGTTCGAGCCATACTCTAATAACAAAAAATTTCTACTAATGCCAAAACTGTTCGAATGGGTAGTCATTAAATTTTGATAAGTATACCCATTGATTCATACTATTCAAGTATAAGCTATGACAAATAAGTCATCTGCCATGTGTGTTACGCAACTTAGAAAAGTGTACGCACTCTTGTGACCATCATTCATTAGCACTGGTACTCGTCAACGAAAACACTAGTATTCACCAGCTGGAAAATGCACAAAGCCGGACTCTGAGAAGACTTTTCAAAGTGCCATGCCTCCCTCAAGATCGATCCGATTAAAAAATATATAAAGAATAGAGCCCTGAAACTATTTACGAAAACGGATAGACTTACCAACATCGCATTATTAAATGTTAGAATGGTTAAAGGTTCCTCGGAGAGGTATGCAGATCTCTCTACGGTTATGAAGAAACCTCCCAGTTAGTAGAGAGTAATACGGCGTTTACATTGGCCGAAAATGGCTCATTTTGGATGAGTCATTTGAAAGTGTTTACATTCGTTGTATTTCATTTTTTCTCATTTCAAATAGCTGATTTTTCAACTTGCATGTTGATTTAATTTTTGGTCTGT